GTTAAGACAGAGCTAAATGTAATGGCCCTCTGTAAGACAGAGCTTAATGATATGGCCCTCTGTAAGGACAGAGCTAAATGTAATGGCCCTCTGTAAGACAGAGCTAAATGAAATGGCCCTCTGTAAGACAGAGCTAAATGTAATGGCCCTCTGTAAGACAGAGCTTAATGATATGGCCCTCTGTAAGACAGAGCTAAATGTAATGGCCCTCTGTAAGACAGAGCTTAATGTAATGGCCCTCTGTAAGACAGAGCTAAATGTAATGGCCCTCTGTAAGACAGAGCTTAATGATATGGCCCTCTGTAAGACAGAGCTAAATGTAATGGCCCTCTGTAAGAGACAGAGCTTAATGTAATGGCCCTCTGTAAGACAGAGCTAAATGTAATGGCCCTCTGTAAGACAGAGCTTAATGATATGGCCCTCTGTAAGACAGAGCTAAATGTAATGGCCCTCTGTAAGACAGAGCTAAATGAAATGGCCCTCTGTAAGACAGAGCTAAATGTAATGGCCCTCTGTAAGACAGAGCTAAATGTAATGGCCCTCTGTAAGACAGAGCTAAATGTAATGGCCTCTGTAAGACAGAGCTAAATGTAATGGCCCTCTGTAAGACAGAGATAAATGTAATGGCCCTCTGTAAGGAAGGAAAAGCTAAATGTAATTGCCCTCTGTAAGACAGCTAAAATGTAATGGCCCTCTGTAAGACAGAGCTAAATGTAATGGCCCTCTGTAAGACAGAGCTAAATGTTTTGATGGCCCTCTGTAAGGAAGGAAAAACTAATGTAATGACCCTCTGTAAGACAGAGCTAAATGTGATGGCCCTCTGTAAGGAAGGAAAGCTAAATGTCATGGCCCTCTGTAAGACATAGCTAAATGTAGTTGCCCTCTGTAAGACAGAGCTAAATATAATTGCCCTCTGTAAGAGAGAGAGCTTAATGTAATGGCCCTCTGTAAGACAGAGCTAAATGTAATGGCCCTCTGTAAGACAGAGCTAAATGTAATGGCCCTCTGTAAGGAAGGAAAAGCTAAATGTAATTGCCCTCTGTAAGACAGAGCTAAATATAATGGTCCCTTGTAAGAAAGGTAAAGTTGAGGTAATGATCCACTGTAAAAAGGCAAAGATGAATGTTATCGCCAATGCAAGAAAGGTAGTGCAGAATGCATCGGTCCTTTGTAAGAAAGCAGAGCCAAATATAATGGCCTACTGTAAGAAAGACAAAGCTGAAATAAAATGATCCACCTAAAAAGAGAGAAGCTAAGAATGTAATGGCTACTGCGATAGAGGCAGTGCTGAATGCAAATGTCAGCTGTAAGACAGAGCTAAATGAAATGGCCCTCTGTAAGACGGAGCTAAATGTAATGGCCCTCTGTAAGACGGAGCTAAATGTAATGGCCCTCTGTAAGACAGAGCTTAATGTAATGGCCCTCTGTAAGACAGAGCTTAATGATATGGCCCTCTGTAAGACGGAGCTAAATGTAATGGCCCTCTGTAAGACGGAGCTAAATGTAATGGCCCTCTGTAAGACAGAGCTAAATGTAATGGCCCTCTGTAAGACAGAGCTTAATGTAATGGCCCTCTGTAAGACGGAGCTAAATGTAATGGCCCTCTGTAAGACGGAGCTAAATGTAATGGCCCTCTGTAAGACAGAGCTAAATGTAATGGCCCTCTGTAAGACAGAGCTTAATGTAATGGCCCTCTGTAAGACAGAGCTTAATGATATGGCCCTCTGTAAGACAGAGCTAAATGTAATGGCCCTCTGTAAGACAGAGCTTAATGATATGGCCCTCTGTAAGACAAGACAGAGCTAAATGAAATGGCCTCTGTAAGACAGAGCTAAATGTAATGGCCCTCTGTAAGACAGAGCTAAATGTCTGTAAGACAGCAGTATGGCCCTCTGTAAGACAGAGCTAAATGTAATGGCCCTCTGTAAGACAGAGCTTAATGTAATGGCCCTCTGTAAGACAGAGCTAAATGTAATGGCCCTCTGTAAGACAGAGCTTAATGATATGGCCCTCTGTAAGACAGAGCTAAATGTAATGGCCCTCTGTAAGACAGAGCTAAATGAAATGCCCTCTGTAAGACAGAGCTAAATGTAATGGCCCTCTGTAAGACAGAGCTAAATGTAATGGCCTCTGTAAGACAGAGCTTAATGATATGGCCCTCTGTAAGACAGAGCTTAATGATATGGCCCTCTGTAAGACAGAGCTTAATGTAATTGCCCTCTGTAAGACAGCTAAATGTAATGGCCCTCTGTAAGACAGAGCTTAATGTAATGGCCCTCTGTAAAGACAGAGCTAAATGTAATGGCCCTCTGTAAGACAGAGCTTAATGATATGGCCCTCTGTAAGACAGAGCTAAATGTAATGGCCCTCTGTAAGACAGAGCTAAATGAAATGGCCCTCTGTAAGACAGAGCTAAATGTAATGGCCCTCTGTAAGACAGAGCTAAATGTAATGGCCCTCTGTAAGACAGAGCTAAATGTAATGGCCTCTGTAAGACAGAGCTAAATGTAATGGCCCTCTGTAAGACAGAGATAAATGTAATGGCCCTCTGTAAGGAAGGAAAAGCTAAATGTAATTGCCCTCTGTAAGACAGCTAAATGTAATGGCCCTCTGTAAGACAGAGCTAAATGTAATGGCCCTCTGTAAGACAGAGCTAAATGTGATGGCCCTCTGTAAGGAAGGAAAAACTAAATGTAATGACCCTCTGTAAGACAGAGCTAAATGTGATGGCCCTCTGTAAGGAAGGAAAGCTAAATGTCATGGCCCTCTGTAAGACATAGCTAAATGTAGTTGCCCTCTGTAAGACAGAGCTAAATATAATTGCCCTCTGTAAGAGAGAGCTTAATGTAATGGCCCTCTGTAAGACAGAGCTAAATGTAATGGCCCTCTGTAAGACAGAGCTAAATGTAATGGCCCTCTGTAAGGAAGGAAAAGCTAAATGTAATTGCCCTCTGTAAGACAGAGCTAAATGTAATGGCCCTCTTTAAGACAGAGCTAAATGTAATGGCCCTCTGTAAGACAGAGCTAAATGTAATGGCCCTCTGTAAGGAAGGAAAAACTAAATATAATGACCCTCTGTAAGACAGAGCTAAATGTGATGGCCCTCTGTAAGGAAGGAAAGCTAAATGTCATGGCCCTCTGTAAGACAGAGCTAAATGTAATGGCCCTCTGTAAGGAAGGAAAAGCTAAATGTAATTGCCCTCTGTAAGGAAGGAAAGGCTAAATGTAATGGCCCTCTGTAAGGAAGGAAAAGCTAAATGTAATGGCCCTCTGTAAGACAGAGCTAAATGTAATGACCCTGTGTAAGGAAGGAAAAGCTAAATGTAATTGCCCTCTGTAAGGAAGGAAAGCTAAATGTCATGGCCCTCTGTAAGGAAGGAAAAGCTAAATGTAATGGCCCTCTGTAAGGAAGGAAAAGCTAAATGTAATTGCCCTCTGTAAGGAAGGAAAGGCTAAATGTAACGGCTCTCTGTAAGGAAGGAAAAGCTAAATGTGATGGCCCTCTGTAAGACAGAGCTAAATGTAATGGCCCTCTGTAAGGAAGGAAAAGCTAAATGTAATGGCCCTCTGTAAGGAAGGAAAAGCTAAATGTAATGGCCCTCTGTAAAGAAGAAAAAGCTAAATGTAATGGCCCTCTGTAAGACAGAGCTAAATGCAATGGCCCTCTGTAAGGAAGGAAAAGCTAAATGTAATGGCCCTCTGTAAGGAAGGAAAAGCTAAATGTAATGGCCCTCTGTAAGGAAGGAAAAGGTAAATGTAATGGCCCTCTGTAAGGAAGGAAAAGCTAAATGTAATGGCCTTCTGTAAGGAAGGAAAAGCTAAATGTAATGGCCCTCTGTAAGGAAGGAAAGCTAATTGTAATGGCCCTCTGTAAGGAAGGAAAAGCTAATTGTAATGGCCCTCTGTAAGGAAGGAAAAGCTAAATGTAATGGCCCTCTGTAAGGAAGGAAAAGCTAAATGTGATGGCCCTCTGTAAGACAGAGCTAAATGTAATGGCCCCTCTGTAAGGAAGGAAAAGCTAAATGTAATGGCCCTCTGTAAGGAAGGAAAAGCTTAATGTAATGGTCCTCTGTAAGGAAGGAAAAGCTAAATGTAATGGTCCTCTGTAAGGAAGGAAAAGCTAAATGTAATGGCCTTCTGTAAGGAAGGAAAAGCTAATTGTAATGGCCCTCTGTAAGGAAGGAAAAGCTAATTGTAATGGCCCTCTGTAAGGAAGGAAAAGCTAAATGTAATGGCCCTCTGTAAGGAAGGAAAAGCTAATTGTAATGGCCCTCTGTAAGGAAGGAAAAGCTAAATGTAATGGCCTTCTGTAAGGAAGGAAAAGCTAAATGTAATGGCCCTCTGTAAGGAAGGAAAAGCTAATTGTAATGGCCCTCTGTAAGGAAGGAAAAGCTAATTGTAATGGCCCTCTGTAAGGAAGGAAAAGCTAAATGTAATGGCCCTCTGTAAGGAAGGAAAAGCTAATTGTAATGGCCCTCTGTAAGGAAGGAAAAGCTAATTGTAATGGCCCTCTGTAAGGAAGGAAAAGCTAATTGTAATGGCCCTCTGTAAGGAAGGAAAAGCTAAATGTAATGATCCTAAAAAAAAGGCAAAGCTGAATATAATTGCCACTGCAAGAAAGTCAGAGCCAAATGTAATGGCCTTCTGTAAGGAAGTATGATCCAAAGCTTAATGTTATGGTCCATTGGAAAAAACGGCAATGCTAAATGTGCCAGTAATTGTACACTGTAAAAAGGCAAAGTTGAATTTTATGATCCCTTGTAAGATGGACAGAGTTAAATGATAGTCAACTGAAAAAAGTAGAGTTGAATGCTTTGTACGATAGGCAGAGTTAAATGATAGTCAACTGAAAAAATATAAATACTTTCAATGTTGACTATTAGAGTAACAATATTTATTATGTGATACGTTTGTTTTTATCCTGTAAAGTTAACTTTAATTTGTTTGGATGTTTTTAAAGATGTTAGTAAGATTTTATATGAAATTACTGAATATTTTAGGTAGCAGTCCTTACCAGAGGAGTGTTGGGATTGGCAAGAAATTGTTGCTGGACTGGTGTCAACGGGAGCTCCAGGTTGAGTTTGATCCCCAAAACTCACTAACATACAAGTATGTTTAGCTATTTTAAGATCAGTTTGCGTTGTGTTTCTTTAACTGTTTTAAGTGATATATTGATCACCTTCAAAATAATCTTATTTTCCAAGGTGTTTGACTGTTTCTAAGCCTCACAGGTTGATTGCCATCAACGGAACCCATGGTACATGTTCCATATATACTGGTTGGTATATGGTTTATAGCCTGGGTTACCAAGGATAGTTAATTGCTGGCACAAACCAACTGCTTTGTTACCTTGCATACCAGACTGAGCAATAGTATTGTGTGGAAAAAAAACAGCCTTTGTTTGGAGTTGTCAACTGCACAAATTATGGAATAATTTAGAAATTAAATGTACTTAATATTTAAGCTATCATATTAGTAAAGAGTCCTCTTGGCACACAATCTATAATATGTTTAAAATATTTATCTGTTTGCGTCAGGAAGCATATGGATTCCATTATTTATTCTCGCGTTTCATAAAGAGTTTAATTAAAAAATCAATTGACAATGCAGAGCAATGTTCCATGTACGAAAATAATGGTAATGCACAAAGTTAAATATCTTTAATTGATTTGAGGCAGTATGGGTATACAATATGATTGGTATATATCAGTGAACTGGTGCTAAATGTTATTGTAGTTACATCATTATTGCAGGTTTATAAAGTATGGATCTCTGCTAGAGAATGTTTGATATGTATCTATCTGCTTAATATTTCACTATTGTCTGTTCGTCCTGTTTCATTGATTATATAAATATTAGCAACTTACAAGGGATAATTGCCTTATAAACACACACACTTTCTGACTGTTTATTCTTTTTTTTAAGATCCATTTTGCCTCTGACATGAACAGATTTTCCCTTCTTTAGAAAAGACAAACATATGTTTTAATAATCTATATAGGGCATGTTTAGATGTGTATCACATCAAGAAAGAAGTGTTGAATATGAAATAATTTGTCATTAAGGTAGCAAAATGTAAATATAAGTGGTATTTTCACTTCCATACAAAAATTTCTGCAACAGTACTAAATGCAGAAATGTAAAACAATGTAAAAGAAGCAAAAAGGGGTTCAGTTAGTTATATAGCTAATGAATAACTTTTTGGAAAGTGTCCAATGGGAAACAAAAAGTAAAAAAGTTTTGAAAATCAAAGATATTATACAACTTTATAAATTTTTGGTCTGTGAACAAGTTTTTCAAGACGGAAATATATACTGACCATTTTCTTGCAGATTCTTTCTTTTTTATATTTGGTATCTGTACTTAATACTCCCATTCTGTGCAGAGATTTATGTTTTTTTTTGTTTTGTTTTTTTAATTTTAGGATGCACTCTTATTACCCAGCATGTTTTCAAATAGAAAATATTTTTGCTTCTCTATAAAGAATATTTGTATAACAGACCCATGTTTGTCTGGTATGAAAACATTATCATATAAGCCTTCTTGCTTTAAAGTCCCAATTTGTATACTCAAGAACTTAGTTTCTATTATGTCTTTTGAAGGAGTAGAAGTTTTGTCAATATCTACAGAAAAGTAAATGTTTGTTAAGTCGGTCCTAATTGCATTTAGCCTAGAAACTTGCAGTTAGTAGTGAAATTTGGCCTCGCATAAGAAACGGACATTGAAAGTTTGTATAATGGTATAAGAAGACAAAGTTTGTCATCAAATATTTATTGTTTGTAAGATGATTGATCTATGAATGGGTAAGATTTAACCAATACCATTCCTGATCCGGGTTAACCAATGTAAGGTACAAATGTAATTACATGCCCGCTGAGAATAAATTCTTACCATTTATGTGAGTACTCTTTTTATCTTAAACAACTTAATGATTTTTTTTTAAAGTTTATCTATGAAATACTTATTATTCTGTTTTGTTGGTGCACTGAATTAAATCTTGATTTGAGTTACAAGAATTTACTTAGTTCACTTTATGTTGTTTTATGCATATATCAATATAAAGTCATTTAGAGTTTAAAATTCTAGTATGCAATATAATTTATACAAGTATTATAACAAAGAGAAATGTTGCTTTTTTATGCATTAACACATGCCTTAAACAGTCGAACCTGAACTGGAGATCCCACAGCTTATTTCTGACTTCAAAATATTTGTAGATATTAGGAGGTTTGAATATTTCGTGTACAGAGGATATCTTATTAGCTTGTGCTTGAAATATTTATTAAAAAAAGAACCTATAATTTGATCTTCCATCACAAGTTTAGCTCAACTATGTTTGCCATATTTACCTTTACATTGCTAGTGTGAGGCTTATATTCAAACAACAGGAAAGAAACATGTAAACTTAAGAAACCTGGAATAAAATAGTAATACTTAAAAATGTAAGTTTAATCTGTTAACAATGTTTAATGTTACAGTAAATACATCTATAAAGGTATTGTACTGTTTGATGTTTCTCTAAAATTGACTTTAATTTCTATTATGTAACATGAAGATTTCAAACTGTCACCTTATAAAGACATTTTACAGCTCTGTTTGCATGTCGTCTTGTATTTATATGGATTCAATGCTTGATTAAAAATGTAAATACTGGTTTGCAATGTTTGTCGATTCTAATGATTTGTTCGTCAAGCGATTTTCAAATTTGTGTGTAGCATTGATAGTGATAACATTTTGAAAGGGGTATTTACAATTTCTATTTGTTTGAGCATGTAAGATTGTAAGTGAAACATTTTCAAAAGGTTCGTAGGCTTTAATTCCAAATATAGATAACGTTAATTTATAAACCGTGAAACTTTATGAAATTCAAATATCTATTTGTAGAGGAGTTTTATGGAGACTAATTGTATAGTTTATAAATTGCTCGTCCATACACACTCTATTATTTTATTACTTATTGGTTTCCTATCAGTTTCGGAAATTGATATCAAAATCAAACTGTAGGAATTTACGTTAAATAGAATGGACGTTGTAAAACAAAAAGGACATAGATAGATATAATCAAATATTGATAGCGGACAATAGACTTTTAGAAAATTTGAAGGCACAATTGATGAATTCATGTAGAAATTTACACCTTGTGGTTGCAGATAAACTTATTTATGATTGAATTGAAAAAAGAAAATCTAGATTGACTGTTTTCTAGGGTTTGTGTTGATCTTTTGATGTGTCATGATTTAACCAAATAATAGAGCAATAGAAATTAGAACAGATTTTTTTATAACATCAGTGATTTACGGACAATAAATTTATCATAATGACTACTTGATTTTTATATCAGAAAATGTTTACATATATATATTAGAATGGAAACAGCGTTGTAATATACAAATCAGCAGATCAAAGGTTATTCTTAAGAGGCTTTTTAGAAATTATGTTAGTGATTAAAGGAAAGCATTGTTTACTTGGAGTAAAATAAAATGTGGATGTTAAATCATTAAACTTTGTAAGTGATCATAATTTTGGAAGATAATTTTTCAGAGAATAGTAAAGTATTTTTAACTTTATATAAATTAAAGTTGGATTTTATTTTCAGTTTATGCACTGGAGATTGGTTTTTGAAATTGTTGGCTAAAAATTCAGACAAACAGCTAAATGAAGATATAGTAAGTATATTATTATGGTTTTAGTTTACATTGTTGGCTAATACATGTTGAAATAATGCAAAATATTTTTTAATGAATGACTGACCATCATTGGAAAATTTGTTTGAAGTTAATTTTATTGATTCAAAGAGAAGGTATTTAAAGTCATCAGCATTGGTTAAGGAACTTAGCTACAAGCATTAGATTATCAACTTACATTTTTAGTTATATTTTCCTAGTGCCTCTTGAATGTTCAGCATTATAAAAATGGAATACTTTCTGTTTTGAAGACTGAATACTTTTAAATTTGAAATTGAATACAGTATTAGCAGGTGCTAGTGGTGTTGAGAGATGTTTACTTTATCTCTCACGAACAAACTCAAACAAACAATCACTGCAAGTTTCATGTATTAATGCACTGCTTTCTTTCCCCAGCATTGTTATAATAGCATTGTCTTGCATTATTGAAGGATGTAAAAGAATAAGTGCATTTCTAGTGGAAGAATTGCTGTGGCCTAGTGGTTAAGGCATCTGTCTTTAAACTCAGAGATACTGGGTTGAAATTCTATTCAGTTCACAGCATTATTTCAACATATAACACCAGTACTGGTTAGTTCCAGAAAGCAGACTAGAACATGATGAAAAGAAAGTTTCAAGAAATTGTTTTACAATAAAACTAAAATATTAATAAACATGTCACGTCACCTTAGTGCAATCACTGAATAAGGCCGCTATTCCATTTATACCTGATCAGTGGTCCGCGTCCGTCATCCGCGTCCGCTACCGATTCGCTTATCAAAGAATACGTTGAGTCTATTCCTTTTGTCCGTTTACAATCCGCTTCCGCGACGGTATCCGCGACGTTTCGCAGGATGAGCGATTTTTTACGGACGCGGACAGTCATGGACAGGTCTCCTCAAGACAAAATGCCTCGAACGAAATTAAATACTTCATCGATTTCGAAAGAAAATACTAAAAAGCTCACCAAAATAGTGTTGGAGAACCCATAAGTTTATGATGCACCAATGACAGATTAAAAAAAACAACATCTGGTCTTCGGTTGCTAAAGAGATGTTATTCCAAAACCTAACTGGTATTCAATGTTTTTCCTTTTTCTTTTTACCTAATTCTTTGATGTTACAACTGGTTTTGGTATTAGAATGAAATTATATCATATTCTACAAATAATTATCCTCTGTTCGCTATACTATAATTAAAAGTATATAGAAAATAACGTACCTATGGAATAATACTCACCGACATGTCCCGGACACGGATCACGGACGCGGGTCACGGATCGCGTACCAATGGAATAGCGGCCTAACTGCTGTTAAATTAAGAAGCACTTATTTCATTATTGCACTAAGGTGACGATGTATGATCTAGCATATCAAGCCTGTGTTAAATGAAATTCATCTATTATTTTCAGGAGAGGGAAGAAAATTTGAAGGCACAACTTTTAGCTGTAGAATATAAATATGGAATAAAACATACACTTATTAAGTAAGTTTCATATATATAGATCTATCATCATCTCTTTAAGTGAAATAACTTTTGCCTATTTATTTAACCAACATTTCCCAGTGTCAAATTCTATATTCTACGAGGGCATACCAGTCATATATCCTAGGTAGTGAAATTAATCATGGGAAGATTGTGAAGATGATAGGTTTTTAAATCAGGGACGTGTACACACATGTTCTTGTTAATCAGTGATTGAGGTTTACCAAAGAGTTTAAAGAATCTTAGCAAGTGTGTTGACATAAGTTTAAAGTTTATATATAGTAAAGTTCACTTGTAAGGTTTTATATACATGAATATTATATCTAAATGATATAGACATTTGATCAGCATAGAAAAATAAATGTAGTTCAAATTCAAAACAGATTTTTGTCCTTTGTTTTATTGTTGTTGTTTTTTTTATTATCATTTTGTAAGGTTTATTGAATAACCAACATTATTATTTCTTATTAATTTAATAAAAATATAAAAAACAGCAACAAAGTAATTGAATAAGCATTTAATTTTACAGACATTTTTAAAGTTTATTGCTTTCCTCAAAGTTTATTATGTTTAAACAGTAGTATCTGGAAATTCACTTACCATTCAAACCAGACTATCATGTATGATTTAATATTCATCACCATTAGCAAATTTACTATCTTGCATTGAATTCAATAATTCAAGTTTTAATTGATCAGTATCAAAGCAGATTACACATATTTTTTCAGTCCAACAGATATAACAGAAGGCACTGTTGATGAGCACACTTTGATGATCTATATTTCTCTTCTTAGATTAAAGGTAATCATTATTATCTAACATATTAACACATTCATCACTGTTTTTTTACCTTATACATATCTTATATATATTATATAAGAGACAAATTTTTAAGATTGTGAAATAAAGGAAACAACAATGAAATATTCTTATTTGAGTTTTGAGATGCACATAGAAACAAATTGATATACTATTGAACAGTATACATGTAGTAGTAATATACATAATGACATGCAGTTAACTTATGTCATATTATGACATCATAATGGCACATGCAAACTTGTATCCTTTATATCATTATTTATCACAGGTTAAAATGTGTTTGAATTACTTAATCCAAACAAAGCTAAATGCAAACAAAGCAACCATTGTGAGACTTGTGAATCTATTCTTAACTTCTTTATTTATTTTTCTCAGGATAGAAACTTCAAGAGACCAAGAAGATCTTTTCTTTACAAATTTATTTTTTATTTTTCAAAAAAAAAAAAAAGCTATACTTTTTCGTTAAGCTGTTGAATGCTAATTTTGTCAAATTTATTATAGTAAGTTTTTCTATTTAAGATTGGAGATTCTGTAGATGTGCCTTTGAAGTCCCCCAGAGAATTATCATTTCAGGTAAATACAAAACTTTCAGTTTTTAATATAATGTTACAATATTTTGCAATAAACAATACTGCACATTGTTTAACAATCTGTGAATCATTTTGTATTTAAGGTATTTTATGTAATCTTATTTCATCCACAATTTATATATAACCTTTGTGTAGAAAGTAAAAACTGTTATTTCAAACATTTTCTTTTTTATTTCATCTGATTTATTTATATTTCATATTTTTCAGCCTGTAGAGAAGTGTAATTTAGAGGAGAGTGTATCTAGTACTAAATCTCAAGAAATACCAGCCATAGTGTTATCAACTGCCAAATCACCTAGTCCTGAGACTGATCTAGAACCAGCCCAGATATTCTCCACACCCCCTCAGTCAGTATCACCAGATTCCTCCCCTACGCAATCACCACCACGGAAACGGTCGCCAGAGGGATCAGAGACTTCTGATTGGATGTCCCAGTCATCTGGTTCACCGATGTCATCACTTCATGAAAAAATATATGGACAAAAATCTCCAGAATTACCCCCAGAAGCAGAAACTGTGATAAAACAAACAATAAGTGAGCATGTTGAGGGGCATATATCACCTCTAGAAGACGGCATGCAAAGAGACAATAGTAATGGTAAACATGGTAGTAGAATTCCTGTAAGAGTAAAAGATGGTGAGGAATCTCATAGATCTATAAGCAGTCCTGGTAGATTAGAAGGTGATAAAGATAAAACTGTTTCTAGAAAAATTAGTATTAAAGTTCAAAGACCTAGAAGTCCTAACAGTATAATGGCTGAGGCTAGGGCTAGACAAGAGCAGGAGAAGGAGAGAAAAAGGCGGGAAAAAGAGGAATTAGAGAGACAGAAAAGAGAAGATAAAGATGAACCTGTAATGACAGGTAGTGCAAGTGAAGCTGACATTTCTGAAACTGGACCTAGAATTAAATATCATACTGATATTGATCCAGTAAAATCTGATGATGATGACATAGTAAAAGATAGACCTAAAGCTACTAGTGTTAGTGTTAATTTACCTAATTCAATGCAGATGAATGGAGAAATTCATGATGGAGTGCCAGTTTTTGTGATGCCAGGAAAAAAACATGATATGGAATTATTATTAGAAGCATTAAGGCATGCTAGAACTGAAGCTAATATGCAAGATCAATTAATTCAAAACCCTCCATCTGATCAGCCAGATTTTCAAAATGTAGTGGATAAAAATATTGAACAATTAGAAGCACAATTAGCTGCAGTGAAAGCCCAGTCTAAAGAATTATTTGAGGATCGTAATAGAAAACAAGAAATGGAGAGAGGAAGAATGTTGGCCAGAGAGCCACACAGGAACAGAAGGAGTGAAGGACACAGCCGGCCTAGAGGAATTCTTGATGTCATGGTCAATCAGAATATACAACCCCAGGAGACTTCCCCAAAAGAGAGGATGGATGATGAAGTTAGAAGCAGTACACCACAGGGTATACTACGAAATAGAGGCAGATCTCCCACAGATCATATTGGAAGGTTTTCTGAAGGCGGAAGGTCAAGAGGCAATTCCTATAGTCCAGACAAGCACAGATCATCACCATATCAGAATGGAACTGATGGGGATGATGCCGATAAAAGGTTGATTAAATTTTTAACCAATGAAATTGAAAATATGAAGTTAAAGATGTCTGTCCTGGAACAGAAAAACCAACAAAGATCTCAAAGTCCTTATGGAATGGGTCCCAGGATTACCAGTGGCTTGCCAGAAAGGGACAAAAGTCCAGCTCAAATCAGTTCAAGAGCCAGAGCTAGATTTTCTGATTCTGATGGCAATTTTGGAAGTTATTCTCCTGCAAGAAGGGTAAGGTCTTCTGATATGATTGAAGAATTAAGGTCAAGGTCACCCAGATATGATAGTCCAGGAAGGTCACCAAGATATGATAGCCCAGGAAGATCAACTTCTAGGTCACCTGCTCGCTCTCCAAGCCATTCCCCAGCACGATCACCTGTCAATATGTACAGATCTCGTACACCAGAGAGACTGTCATCAAGGGAGAGAATTCGCCCAATCTCACCATCTGCTAGAGTTTTAAGTTTACAAGATTTGTCTACCTCTATAAATGATGATCTTGATGGGAACTTAACATTCTCTCCAGCAAGTGGTTCAAAACCTGTCAGTTTAGGATATAGTAGCCCTATTAGGAAAGTAAATGATGAAATCTGGGGCTATGGCCAGACAGAGGATGAATATTATGCTGACACTGCCAAATACGAGGGATGGAAGCAATTAATTTCACGTGAAGCTGTTACAGACGAAGACAATTTAGAACTTAAACAAGCACTTGCTTCTTCATTAGTAGAACTAAATATATTACAAGCAAAATTAAAAAATGCCAATTCTGATATAAAGGAAAAGATGGGTAAAACTACAGAGGTGTTGAATGATTGTCGTGCACAGATTTCAAAATCACAGGCAGAGAATGCTGAGCTCCGTTCTCAGTTAGATCGTGAGAAGCAGAATCGTGAGGCACAGGAAGCACGACTGAAAGACATGGAACAGAGCCTGCGCAGTGCCAAAACTAACCAGGATGATAAAACCCTAGAACTAGAGGAATCTGTTGTAACACTTAAAGGTAAGGTTAATGCTTTTTTACATTTCATTTAATAATAACTAAAGCATACTGGAATGAAAAACAGCTCATATTTTATGAAAAAAGTACAACATAAATTAATAAAAAGTAAAAAATGTGCATCATAAGTGGACAAATATATTTTTCCATATAATGAAATTAATTATGTTCATTAGGAATCAAAGAGATGATATACGGGGGAGGGGGTCTTGTAGGCTAAACATGCATTTGGTTAGACTGGATTTTTGTAGGCACTTATGTTAACAAATGTTAAGCCTGAACCTGCTTAATTTGTGTAATGAGCTTTCCATGCTTTGAATCCAGAACATTCCATTCAATGTTGAAAGGATTTCAGTATCAAAATACAAAAGTTGAGTTACTAGTATTATATAGTCTTGTCAGATCAGACTGATCTAGTTCTATACCTGTAGCTATCGAAGGTAAATAGTTAACAATATATACATTGCTAATGTACATTATAAGAGCAGTCTGATTTTACATTGTAATGTATCATTGTTTTTCTACATTAAAGTAATGGATAGGATAATCAGTTTGTAATTTACACACCTAGATTAATTATCATTGATGATATCTATTTCAATTACACATTTTTCTATCAGTTTTACATGCAGAAATAATGACACAAAGAAATTCAAACCAAACATTTGTCATGTATTCTGATTGATAAACTTTGTCCCATTTTCAAATTAATGAATATTGCGTACAAACAGCTTGTAAAGTTGTGTCATTTGTGAAATGAAACGTCCAATATGTATTTGATAACTTGTGATTGGGCTATGAGTCAGTATTTTAGGCAAAACAATCTAATTGATCATTCTAGTACAAGATACCAACTTGTTGTTTAAATAATTTTTGTTTGTTTTAAATTACTTAAGGAAATTTCCATCAGTGATATTCATGTATATGATAATTATAGTAAATATGAATATATGGTCACCTTAGTGCAGTAACAGGATACTCCTATTAACTACAATAGAAGTTAACCATTTACTGCACTAAGGTGATGATAATTTACTTTTTGTACTAGTACTATATATGGTCAGATTTTCATCTGTAATTTCCTTCTAGCAAGAATTTGCTGAACTTTGCTGCTTCCAGAGTAAAAGACCCCACAATTTTTGTAGTTTTGGGTGTAGAAGGGCAGGGTTCTAAATGACTTGTGGTGTAAAGCAAAGAGGCTTACACCTGTATGTTACAAGTAAACAGCATTTGATGATTTAAAATGTGAGGAAACAGACAATACATATAAAAACACTGATTGTTTGCAGAATGTAATGTTGCTCATTAAATTAGTGCCTGGTTTAATAATTAAATCATATTTAGATAATTGTTGGATCTTGTGTAAGGAAGCAAATCTTAACATTTTCATTTATTTCAAGGATTTTCTAGCTAAATATTTGTTCAATTGTACATAAAGATTATGTTAAATGTATTTTGTTTTTGTCAACATTAAATATTGTGACATCTGCAAAATTGAGGTGATTGTTAAAATAGGCAAAGGAAACTATTACAGCTTTTTTCAAAGGTCTTTGTTCATTTTGTGCATCATGACATGGCACCATATAGCGAATCAAAGAACTTCACCAATGATCTAAAAAAGATTTGTTCACAAAACATATCTTATATTTTATAGATAATTTCTTGATACATGATTGGATGTTCTGACTGGCTAGCAAACAGTGCAGCAGACAGCACAGTTATGATGGCAGATCTTGTTCTGCACTGATCACATGGTCATATATATGCTGCCCCTAATCTAACATCATATCTTGTAGAAAACCTGCCAAAAAAAGAAAAAATTCTGACAAAAGATTAAGTCTGTGAAATGAAATAGTAACATTTTTGTGCCAATTGTTTTAACACTGTCAGATAGAATAATGAAATATTCATAAATGTAATCATACACTGGTACTGTTTTATGTGCCCAATATTGATTGACTATTTTATTGTTTATAGCTTGAATAAATTGTTAGAGACTTGTGGAAAAAAATGGATTTTTTTGACCCGCATGATTATGTATTTCTTCAAGGTAATTCTTAAATTTGTTGGTTGATTATGTAAACTAGGTGTGATTTAAAGGAGGAAAAAATACCTCATCAACAAAATCTTGATTACATATCTTATAATTATATGCTTACAATACTGAAAGACAATAACCATAAAGATCTGTATAGAAATCTGGTAGTTAAGAATATTTGCTATATTCGAGTATCGCCCTTGAAATCTCTGTACATTATTTAAAGTTTTAAGTTTTATTTGTTATGCCTGTATTTAATGATATTTTATTAAATGAACAATATATGATTGATAAAGGGTTTGAATACAAGTGTTAACTTGCCTGTGTACAGACACAATATTGGTCTCATTATTTTTGTTAAGATTTACCATGTATAATGAAACTCCCAATTAGACAAAGCTTAATTTGTAAAGGAATTTAAATGAAGTGTTTGAACGTGATTGTCAAGTGTTTGGCACCAGGTGTAAAGTGTTTAAACAATGTTTACAAGTGCAAGAGAAAGTTATTTGTATCAGAATAGTTTCAAATCAAATAATGAGATGTATAAGCTATTAGACAGCAGATCCATCCACAGTCCAGACTGGTCATCCTCGCTAAAATCAAGCCAACCTTTAAACAATTCTAATAGGAATAACAAGACAGGAAAAACTTGGACATCCAATTTTGAGTTTAAGAATAGAGATTCAAGTCATACAAGTCGTAATCAGTTTGATTTTGCACGTTCAGATTGGAATAAAGGATCATTGAGTGAATTAAGTAACTTTTCTAATGATAATTTGGATAGGTATTGTGAAAGGGGTCGTCATTTATCACAGACCTCATCCAGCTCGGGAAGTGAACTGAAATACTCAAGTTTTGTTGAAGATGTGATGAGTCAATCTTCAGAAAGAGAGAGTTTAAATAACTTTGAAACAATGTCAAAAGTAGAAACTTCCCATATCAGAACAAATAAAATAAGTATGACTGGTGAGCACCCATACAGTGCAAACAGTAGTCAGTCTGGGTTGGCTTCTACCTACAAAAGTAAGGTCAGTTTTGAGGACCCTATAACAAGAAGTGTTAAATCTGATTCAATTGATCGGAAATTAAAAAGATACAGTGAGACAAACACTAGTAGAATAGGTAGTTACACAAACCCAAAAGAATGGAATGCTATACAAAGGAAAATCTATTATGATTATGTGGATTATGAGAACCGGAGATGGAAAATGACTGGTAAAACTGAAGCTAAAGAAAATATATGAATTCATATTGTATCACTTTAAATCTTGAATTTCTTACATTTTTAATAGGAGGCAGGGAAGGCCTTGTGGTTGTATGATATACACTGGTAGTTCAGTATTATGTGAAGGAATGATTATATTGCTAGGATACTCTTTATTTTATTTGTATTCTCTTGGGGCTTATTTTATACTCTATTGTAGACTAATCAACTGTACAAGTTATTCCTATTTGAAATTTTAAAACCAATTTATTTTTCCAGGATTCAAGTATTTTCATAGGGTTTTGAATAAATTGATAGATCTATTATTCTATTTACATTATCACAATATATTTAGCATTCAGAGTGAGGGTTTGCTCCATCCAACACAAGTTACCTGTAATTTGACATACTTTTATGTTTTTAAACCGGGATAATTTCTATTTTTCACATTTTTATAATGAAAAATATCTGTTAAGTGTAAGTGATTTCTATTTTTAGGCATTGTGAATTTAGACAAGAACCAGATGAGCCAACTTGAAGAAGAAAATGACAAGCTGAGAAAGAAAATTTCTGAGTTCCAGAGAGAAAACATCAAATTGAAGGAGGTAGTTGAACCCTTATAAAATCCTTTGAATTTGTGCAATGTGTTTTCTCAGCTTTAGATTTGGAAAATTGCAATCAAAGTCTAAGGGATTTCATTATCAAAATACTTCAAATAAGCTGCCAATAGTATAGAGCCTGGTCAGACTGAACAAGTTTGTAGGCTGGCCTGGCTTTACACCAATGGCAAAGGCTTATAAGCAGGCTAAAGCTAAGTGAAGGATAGATTATATTTGGGCATCTGTAGGCAATTAGTTAAGGTTGCTATCTTTCAACCATGTACCATGGAGTTAGGATTGTTGCCTGTGTGGAAGCCATTCAGGGTGCTTATGGGAGATGGTTCTACTCAGTTGGTTGAAATAATGCATCAAGGGACTTCAACCAATTAAGCCAACATACATATTTTTTACATGATGAAATTAATAAATAATGTATTATTCATGTATGAATATAGTAATACATACAGAAAGTTCTGTCTGTATGTACTTTGATACTTCAGCTTATAACTGGACTGTTAGAAAATACAAGATGCGAGTACCAATATTTAAAATGGATTTATGTGTTTACAAGAAAGTAAGCATTTATCCTGAGAATAGTTTTGTTATTTTGAAATTAAAATAAGGAATTAAAGTAAGATGAAGGCATTTGTATATTTTTAGATATCTTCATGCTGTATTCAGGTACCTTATACAAACTATTTACTTACACTGCACCTTAGTGTAGATAAAGATAAGATGGAATGTAAATTTGTGCACTATGTTCACTCTCTTAAAAATCTTCCTAGATCTTAAAATTTGCAGCAGTGTTCTTTTGTTTGTGCTACACAATAAATAATTATGTAATTTCTAATGATTTATCAAGCATTTCAATTTTCTAGTTTGGTGAAAAAGTTACTATTGTTGATGGATTTTTATTGCACATAGAACAAAGGGAAAAAGATGAAGTAGTTTTCGTTTAGATCAATCTTTTTGCATTCTTTTTCATACAGGCTTTTCAACACATTTTTCTGTCAACATTGAAGTATCACTAACACATCTTATACCATGATAACATTATTTATAATCTTTTTTTTTTCTTGTTCTTGTGTTCTATCTACTTGCCGTACAAAAGATATAAAAAGTGTTGTTTTTTCTGGTCAGTGTGTCACAAACTTACAGATATTGTATCTTCTTTTATAAACAGACCATTGTCTTTTGTTCATGTTTTAAATTAATTGTAATGTGCAGAAAGATGCATGTTAAATGAAACATCAGTTACTAATGTCAGTTTGTCTTAATTAGATATACATTTATTGTAAATAATGTTTGTACATTACAGGATTTCAATGAGTTGAAGATATACAATGACAAAGCTCAGCAGACTATAAAAGATCTGAAATCATGTTTAGAAGATGCTAGAACAGAGAGAAACGAGATGATGGCTGAGATAAAGAAAATGAAAGATCAAAGCAAAAACAACAATATCTCTTCTATCATTAACAACTACTCAGAGAAAGGCCTATACGAGGATGCAGAAAAAGATCATTTAGCTGAAAGAGACAGGTCAAGGTCACCAAATAGATTTTTTCAGCCAAGAAGTGTATCACCTGTTTTCTCAAGACCAATAACACCCGTAAGGTCTTCAAGTCCAGTGAGGATGACAGACCATAGCTACACAACTTACAACCCAGGATCAAGGTCACAAACACCAACTCCTTGTTCATTCAGCTATGAAGATCTGTCACCAGATGGCCATGAGATTTATCCTCACAGGAGAACAAGGTCATATGTGCAGAAATTCGGGGCACAGGATACATCTTCATCTCAGGTTGATCTGAATGATCCAGAAATAGCAGAATTGTTGAAACCTAAAACAAGGCTGACCTATGACCTTGATGATAACCAAGGGGATGGTCCTCAAGCCAAACGTAAATTATTGTATAGTCCATATATGGATAAAGACTTTGTTCCTCGAAGTAATCAAAATGGTTACACAGAAAAAGAAAGTATTTATGAACAGGAGAGCTTATCTTTACAGAAAGATACTAGTCATAGGAAATCTGAAGTGGAAGAAGAATGGGAAAGTAAGAAATTTATTGATGCTTTAGATCATGCAGTAAAACAGACACCTGCTCAATTAGCACAACAGCGCTTCCTTCAAGAACTCTCCTCTACTGGAGATGAGAGTGATAGGTGGAGAAGTCCATCCAAAGGTATACTGAAAAACACAAAGAGTGCACAGAATATGTCCATAAAAGAAAACATCTCTCCAAGCAGACGATCCTTTGAGTCAAGGTCATATTCACCATCAGTACGGTCACCTCTAACTTACTCTCCAGGAAAACCATCCACAAGGTCATATACACCGGAACCTTCTAGAAGGTCATATAATTCTCCAACAAGGTCATACACTAATGACAATTCCCAGAATAGGTCATATTCTCCTAACAACAGAAATAGGTCACTATCACCAAGGAGTGTAGGTCAAAGATCATATTCACCTGGAAACAGATCATCTTCCCCTGGATATAGAAGCAGTACAACAAAAGACAGTGGATACAGTACACCAACTCAGCCATTGAGATATAGGTCTTCAGTTGCCAATGACAACAGAGATTATAATCGACCTAGGACACCAACGTCTACTAGGTCACATGCTGAGTAAGAATTTCTGTCTAACTTTTAGTTAATTTACCATTTTTATAGATAAGCTAAGTACTTTGGAAACAAAAGCTTACTTCATGACTGGATTGATTTGACTAATTCTTATTATCAGATTTGTGGATACAAGAAGAATTTTACCACAACATATCTGTTTACAAAAGAGCACATGTAAGTGTTTGTGGTAGAATCTATTGTTATTCAAATAAAAGGTCAAGAGAAGTGATCTATCAATGGATAAATGATATAACATAAAAGTGTTAGTTGTGCTTTTATAAGAAATAATATTTATATATCTAGCTGGTAACTGTGGTTATATTTCTGTTTTTCAGAAAGAAAAGTGGTTTATTATCTGACGAGGAAAGACGGTATGCTGATCTATTGATCGACAAATATACCAGGCAACATATTATTGGAATCCCTTTAGCCTCTAGCTAGCCTCTAGTTTTGTCTTAACTTTAGGTAAAATGTCCTCTTTTACTAACAATCTGGTACATATGCTCCTATGGCCTTTCTGTTTTCTGTAGTCAAATGCTAGCATACTGATAGAAGTTATTTATAAACAGATGTCACTTAGTCCTAGGGATAGTTAGGTGATTCCTCTACCTAAACAATCAGAAAGTTGTTACCTGTCATATTACCTGATTGATGTGAATGGGATTTCAAGAATCTAACAGTAAAATGATGTGGGCTTTTTAGTATTACTATAAGAACTATAAATGGCAAATTGTGAATGGTTAATCATGAAATATTTTGAAGATAAATATGGAAATATAAACATGTTGTTTAATAATAGGAGCTATTGCTACAGAAAACAGGTTGTCCTTCCTTGTTCCCATGTATTTATTATTTATAATGCAGGTATCATGTATATGCAGGTATTGTTTAATGCATGTTTTGACTACACAAAAATATTGTCTTTCTATAAAATATTCATTTATTTGATTTATCTTTGGGGCTATTGATCTGCATTACCAAGATGGTAAATTTTAGACAAAGCTCCTGCATGTTTACATGTGTACTATTTACTGTAGAAAGTAGAAATGGTGTCAATAAGGGATCCATAACAAATATGATTAAAAGTAGTTAAATTATATTAATTGAATGTTTTTAAATCTCTTCTAGTTTTCTGTTAATTGATGATACAGGCAATCTAATAAAAAGATAAAAGAACATGTATATTAATAAAATTATATTGATACATTAAAGGCCCTATAAACAACAATTTAAATTGCAACTCTCATATCATGAAAATCTGTTTTGTTTCATTTGAATCATTTTTATTTGGTTCATTTCAATTACAATAGTTACATACAAACACATGATTAGAAAAGTTATTATATCTTTATTTCAAACATTTTATAACATAAATAAAGCCCTTAACTTGAGGAATTTGTGATATGAATTTGGAGCAATCCATTTAAATTTTATGGGATTACATGAACAAGATACAAAACTTGTGCTGGAAGATTGAACAGTCAGACTGTACAGAAGTGCAGTCTAGCCTGGCTCTTTACTGTTGATATTGGTTTATCATTGTCAGCAGATGTGCAGTCTAGCCTGGCACTTTACTGTCAGCAGATGTGCAGTCTAGCCTGGCACTTTACTGTTGGTAATGGTTTATCATTGTCAGCAGATGTGCAGTCTAGCCTGGCACTTTACTGTCAGCAGATGTGCAGTCTAGCCTGGCACTTTACTGTTGGTAATGGTTTATCATTGTCAGCAGATGTGCAGACTAGCCTGGCACTTTACTGTTGGTAATGGTTTATCAGTTTAGCATTGTCAGCAGATGTGCAGTTTAGCCTGGCATTTTACTGTTGGTAATGGTTTATAATTGTCAGCAGATGTGCAGTCTAGCCTGGCACTTTACTGTTGGTAATGGTTTATCATTGTCAGCAGATGTGCAGGCTAGCCTGGCACTTTACTGTTGGTAATGGTTTATCATTGTCAGCAGATGTGCAGGCTAGCCTGGCACTTTACTGTTGGTAATGGTTTATCATTGTCAGCATAGCCTGGCACTTTACTGTTGGTAATGGTTTATAATTGTCAGCAGATGTGCAAGCTAGCCAGGCACTTTACTGTTGGTAATGGTTTATCATTGTCAGCAGATGTGCAGGCTAGCCTGGCACTTTACTGTTGGTAATGGTTTATCATTGTCAGCAGATGTGCAGTCTAGCCTGGCACTTTACTGTTGGTAATGGTTTATCATTGTCAGCAGATGTGCAGTCTAGCCTGGCACTTTACTGTTGGTAATGGTTTATCATTGTCAGCAGATGTGCAGTCTAGCCTGGCACTTTACTGTTGGTAATGGTTTATCATTGTCAGCATTTTCATTGTGACAAACAAACATTTGGTATTGGCACATTCAGGTCATTAAGTAAATTTTGATTTCATAAAAGTATTTTTTTTTAATTTCCTTGTTTACATGTCAGACAAAATAAAATTCTTGATGAATTACCAGTGTTCACACAATAAAGTTTTGTTAAGCCCACTAATAATGAATTTAGAGCTCTGTGGTTTTCCTTTTTCAGATTAAAGCTACATCATTTGTTGATGACTTTTGAAAAAAATAAATTATGTTCATGCAGTGCATCCCTAGTTATTGTGCTGAAATTGTGGAAAAGGACTTATGTGAAAATGTTTTTTGTTAAATTAATTCACTTACAAAAGTTAAGCAACTGACATGTCAATCTTATATGAAACACTGTTCATGTTTGATGAAACCCAGCTGTATATTTGCAACATAAATCAGTAATTTTGGCAACTGATGCTTAGAATAATTTAAAGATTTAGGTACATAACTTGTGTGCAAATTTCATGTCATTGGCTCATTTCTTTTTTTCTGTAATAATTATTTTAAATTGTGCGGAATTACCCAAAAATGTGTAAATGCTTTTTACTTGAATCTGGCATAGAATCACACAAAAAATTATGACCTCACTGTAAGATCCAACATCAAGAAATTAGGCCCATCAGCAGCTTTATTGTACTTTATTGTATTTAATAATTCAATTAATAAATGTTAATAGCATTAGAAATTTAACTTGAATATTTTAAAAACTAACAATTTACTTTCTTTCTGTGTTTAATTTGTTAACAGTTATTCTCATACAAAATTTAATCTTGATAGATTTAATTATGTGATCATTGTCATTTATTCTAAGATCTTAGTATTTAAAATGTTTCGCTTAAAAAGTTGCTAAAAAAAGAGTTAAACACATCTATCTTGCTCCTTTGTTTTATATAAATGCATATTTAAAAAAAAATGTTTTTATTTCACCAGAGCTGAATTTTTTTATAATAAAGCTGTGTTTGTGCCAAATGTGATTATGTTAAAGTAGTTATTTCTACTGGTGCTTAGTCATTTAATTCAAATGCACAGAAATTTTGTTGTCATACATTATTAAAATGTGTGAATATTTTTCCCAATGAAGAACAACTTGTGATTTAGCTGTTACAAAATAATACAACATGAGAGACATGTCTAAATGGTTTATCATGAATTAAGTATGCAAAAAAACATGTTAAAATAAGATCTTGTACAGTATGGCTAGGCAATTGCTGTATCAGATCATATAAAATATTTTAAAAAGATGATATTCACTAGATTTACATTGCTGGGTGACTTTGATGAGGTTTTTACTGACATGATTTTCCTTGAAACACTTTTATACATGTACGGTATAAAAGTGTTCAATATTAATATTAATATAAAATGCAAAATAAGTTGAACAGAAACATTTGTTAATAATTATATTTGTTATTTTACAGTGATGATGTTATCAATGTACAGCAGTGTTATACAGAAAGCCTTCAACTCAAACCAACTCACCTCTGGTGCTGACCTTGACCTTTAGGGGTAACCATAGCAACCAACTTTACAGGCAGCAATATACCATTCCAGCCATTACTTGTGTTTTCTTATTTTTTCAAAGAGAATGGGAATGATTCTATGAACAACATGGATTGTATGTGTAGAGAACAGCTGTGAAATACAGTAACTGTACAGTACAAAAAAATTGGTATAATATTTTATTAAGTTATGTTTTATCTTTGATATTGATAAAATTGCTTGAATGTTTAGGTGATATATCTTGAGTGATAACTTATCAAATTCCGTCCAGTTCTTCATTTTATAATGTGCTCTTTTTAAATTTTATTGTATATCTATTTTTTTTGTCTGTAGGCTATATATTTGTTTACATATAATGTTGGTATATTATAAATTGAAATTTTGAAGAGCTGTTATATATTTACAGTGATTAAACTATATAACCTCATGCCAAGACCATTTTATAATAATTCTGTATAGATTAAAGGAACAGTTCCAGTTTCCTTCTAAGTTCACAATTATGCTGGGAAAAAAGCTAATTTAACAAGTTTATTTTACAAGTTTCAACATTTGGCTCATGTTTCAAACCTACTTTAACTGAGTGGCCGTTTGGCGGAGAAGTTAACGTGTTGGACTAAAAATTTAAGGATCGTTGGTCCAATGGGTTCAAACCTGTCAGGGGCAAGCTGTTGTTTCTGTGAGCAAGAAACTTTACACTCATTGCTTAGTACTGGTTGGTTCCAGGAACATATTTGAGAGTGTTTCAATAAGCTTATAGCTTCTACCACAATCAAACTAAAATAAATTAGTTTAAACCAACTAAACATATTTTAACTGATATGAAGCCTTGATTTAATAAGTTCTAGATTGAAGTGTTATATGATTTGAAGTTAGAAATATTTGTTTATGATGACTATAAGTGATGATTGACAGATATTGTTATACATGAAGGACAGGAATGAGGTCATACATCTTGTAGTTTTTGATCTGACTTGACAGATAACATTGTTGTTTGATGTTAAAGGTAATTGACAGCTTATTTATGGCTTTATCAAACACCTGTTCTCCTTTTGTGTTTTTTAAGACTGCAAATATATATTTCTTACATTTTGATTATTTGAAGCAGATTTTCTAATGGGGTTTAATAGTTACATTTGCTTGATTAGATTTTAGAAAAAGGAAACATTCTATATTTTAGAAAAAGGAAACATTCTATATATGCATAGATTTGTCTTATTCACACATTGACATTTAATATTCAATATTAATTTGTTGAATGATATAGAAGTTTAAAATCATTGATTTATATGCTTTTGGTTCTGAAAGTATTTGGGCTATTTTTTTACATGGAATCAGTGCCAAAGCAGTTGACATTTTTTCACCTAAAAGTAATTTATTCCATGTTTTTTATTTATTTGATTTAGAAATTTTTACTTTATCTATTTATTTTTAGTAGATTATTTAAGATTTTAGAATTAGAATTTGAGATTTTTAGAGTTTTTATTTATAAATTGTAGAAATTTGTTACTTGTTGTTGTTGTTTTTCCCCGTCCACAAAAAGCACATGTGATCCTCTATTACTTCACATTAATGTCTGTGATATCTTGTATGAAATTTTTAGTGTTTTTTTTTTTTCATAATGTTATATAATATTGGTGTAATTTGTTGTTGCTGACAATTTTATAAATCTAATGAGGAAAAAAAACAAGCATACAAAATTACAGTTTACTGCATGCTTAAGTAGATCAATGTTATTCATGTATATTCTCGTACATTTTTATCAAGTTTCCCCAAGTCTTCTTTATTGCAATTAAATTAATGGGGTTATAGGTAACATGATAATTTTACATCACTAAATTAGTGAAAAAGTAAGAAAAGGGCTTTGGTTGTTCAAAAGTACAACAGTGTTTTAGTTAAAGATCCTGTTTTTTGTAATTAAGGTTGTTACCATACTTAAGTTAAATCTTATATAAGTATATAATTATGTTTTACAAACAATATGTACTGCAAATATTTGCGCTCATTATAATTATGTAATCATTAAAATATATGCATACATTTCTTATTGAAAAATTTGACTTAGACTTTATAGAAAATAAATTTTTAATTACCTCCCTTTTTTAATATGAAATGTAAATTCGGTAATATCTTTACAAGTAATACTTTTTGGAACTTACAATATTGATAAATCTCCATTTAAGCATTATATTTATTATATAAAACCATAAAAAATTGAGTTACAGGATCTTTGGATAAATTAAGGCATGTTTTGTAAATATAAAGAAATCTACCAAAATTTGTTTGAAGATTTTTAAAAAAAAAATTTAACTTAAGATTTTTAAATCTTTTTAAAGACTTAAAACATAACTACATGTAATGGAAAATATAACAGGAAGTTTGAGTAACTGCTATATTTTAATATATGTCTTAATTCAAAATAGGAAATCAAAATTTTAACCAGTATATTTATACATGTGTATTAACTGGGCGATTTGTTTTGTTACATTGTAATACTTATTTTGAGTGATGAGTGAATTATTTCCTTGTTACATTACATGTATTAATGGTTGTTATTATTATTATTGATAACTTTACAATTAGATCATAAAACCACAAATAATTTCTTTTAGGCCAAACAATTGTAGTGTTAGTTACTTATCCTTTTTTCCAGTCATTAATATTTTCATGTTTTCGTTAATTTTATGTGAAAGTATGATGGACTACTGGCAAACCATTGGGTTTTTTTTTATAGCAAAATTGTTTCTTATATTTGACAAGATTATATTAAGTAAAGAAAAATATTGAATGAATTTAAGCCATATAGAGACAATTTTATTTGACAGAAAGCTTTGCATTTTTTGAATTTAAAAGTGGTTATTTAAGCATATTTTTCTTTGTTTACTGTAAGTGTTTTTTTAACAATAATAAAACATAGATGTTTGCTCAATTATTTTGCCTTAAAAAGTTTTACCACTCATAATTATTTATTGAAATATTCAGGTCAATCCTCAGGTGAACACTGGTACATGTTTGCTCTGCCTTATACAGAAATCGTGACTTGAATAATGATAACATAGTTACACATGCTCATGTGATACAATTCATTTTGCTTGTTTACATGTATTTAAACACAATGCATCTAGATTGTGTGTACATACATGTATATTCACTAGTTTCATGTTGCTGTGATATTCACTAGACATGCTAATGTGATATTCACTGGACATGTTGTGATATTCATATGGCATGTTGCTGTGATATTCACTGGACATGCTAATGTGATATTCACTGGACATGTTGTGATATTCATATGGCACATTGCTGTGATATTCACTGAGCATGCTAATGTGGTATTCACTGGACATGTTGTGATATTCACATGGCATGTGATATTATTTTGGCATATGGCTGTGCTATTCACTGAAAATGGTTTGTGATATTCAGTGAATGTTGCCATATGTTATTTCTAATATTTATGTGATTGTTCATTTAATGCTGATGAACTGAGCTACCATTATCTTTTTACCACCTTTCACTTTGTTTCTCTTATATTTTGATTGAAAAATCACATAATGCCATAGGAACAAAATATTATTTTTTTAATTTTACTTTGTTTGCTAGTTATACATCAGTTAAGCCATTTTGGTAAATTGATCAATGTTCCATTAACCCTTGTTCTTGATTAGACTTTTTCACCAGTATAGAGCCAAGCCAACCTGAACATGCAGGCAGTCACACCAACTTCTATGCTGTTGGTAGCTTGACTTTTATATATTTTTGTTTAAATGAAAACCCTTATAATTTAGTCCCATATTTAAAGCAGGACAAGTCCATTTAAGAAATTCTCAGTTGGTATGTGATCCATGGTGGAAAAAAATGAATTTATTGGATCTTGTTAACATTGGTATAACATCATTTTTTATTTCTTTTGTTTTAGTATATACTATCTATAGAAAGCTGTCATTGTTGACAAGACCAGTGTTGTGATAATTGTCAACATTCTCATGTATGTTTTGTAATTGGCTAATATAAAATGCTTTTAATGTCATCTTGAATTTATATGAACATGTAGATTATACAAAAATATAAAGAAAAATGTTTTAAGATGCATGAATCAATAATGTGTTTTCTGTGTGTGTTTTAAATGTTTCAATGAGTGTACTATTTTACAATTACTGTATATTTTACAGATAATGTCCACTTATAAATATATATAACATACTGTGTGACTCGTGCACTGTTGATGAGAATATTATGGTTTGATAAGAAATAAACATTGTTTTTTTTTCTCTGTAAAAGTAGGCCTAGATTCTGGACCAGATTGACTTGCTTGTGTTAATATAACAGTATATCTAGCTTGCAAACATGTTATTAACTTGTTTATAGAGTATTATTTTTTTCTTATTGCAACTATACACATTAGGAAATAAATTGTTTGATTAAAATGTATTGTTATTTATTTATGCAATGATTCTTTCTATTTCTTACTTCTAAACTTAAAAGACCAAGTAGGCTGTACAGATTAGGCTTTAGGTTGCTTCAGTCACTTATATACTATTATTTACACAACAAAAACATGTGATAACACTCCTACAGTTATTTATTTACACGTATACATATATTTGTTAATGTAACAAAATTGACACAGTATTTTTTAGCATTTTATGGATAAGCTTTACAAGTTTAATCAAAAGAAAATAATAAAAAACAAAAATGAGTTAACATTACTAAGAAAGGCTAAATATAACATCAAAGATAATTTATAAGGGCGGTGACTTTAATCGATTCATGAAAGAAAGAAATAGTTACTAAATGCGCTAATGATCAACTGGGTTACTGATAGTATCGGTAACCCAGTTATCAACACTGTCAATTAATTATTTGTCAGACTATCTCTCCTATATAAGGGGCCGAAATGTCGGGTCAACTAGAAAAAAAGAGATCTAGAAATCTTAATATCGCAAGGTTTGAAATGTCAAGGTGTCTAAGTTCCTTTACTTGCATTTACACCGAAATAAGTTGACCTGACTACCATCAGTGGCTTACGTTACATTCAGTACAGCACTGTAATTTTTTTAATGTCCATTTTATATCAAGAAAAAACTTCTTGCTAATATATTTGTAAGACTATCTCTTCTATGTGTTTTATATACCATCTTTTATCAAAATGGGCAAGTACTCTAAATATTGTTTATTATTGGGGAAATTGAAATATATATGGAAGTTAGTTTTAAATGCAAGCTTAAAGTGTATATAGTCATATAGATATCTGCTGCATATAGTTGACAAAATAAGTATATGAATTTTGAAAAAGAAAAATTCCAAAATATCTTTATAAATGAAATATATTTTCATTTTTAAAATCGAATGTCTCCTGCACGAAATTGTTGCCAAACAACTGAAAGCCTATTTCAAATAACAACATATTATTTTGTTCATTTTATTCTGTTTACGTTCAAAATTCATGTGTTTAATATTTAACCAAAACATACTATGTTATATTTCTTTCGATAATCAGTCATAAGATTTTGGAAACGTCATGCTTTTAGCGTTGATAAATTTTATAAAAAATAGTTTATATACCCTTTAAATACCTTCCATAAGCATCATGAATGAAAGTATTTTTTTTATAAAAAAAAAGGGGGCGTATCATAAAAAAGCCGAGAAAGATGGAGTAATGTTAATGTTAAATTGATATCTTTTTGAAATCCTAAACAAGATTTATATAAATAAATGCTAAGTCCGTTTAAAATGATAAACGCTGAAAAGAGCACGTTTAAGTAGTTATCAATAAAGTTAAATATCGATCACTCCAGTGTCAACTTGTCAAGACGATTCAGCACACTTTAAATACAAAGTTATTTGTTACAATTTAAAACATTTTTAAGAAGATTACGCCACGCCTTTAATAATTTATGTCCTTCAAGGTATGCCAAAGTTTTGTCCGGAAAAAAATAAAATGCGTGCATTCAACGAATTGACGTCATTTCTGCGACACCCGGTATGACCGTAGGTGGCGTCGAGTGCGGTTTGTTCACACTGGATATCACGGCAATTTAGAACTTGACCAGGTACTCGCTGTTTAACCTGTACGCCCTGTATAACTTTAAACAAACAAATCAATCAGAAATGATCAGTGGTGTCTATGTAATTAGTTTTTGATGATAACAAGAGCTGACCACTGCATGACAATAATCATAAAATGTAATATTAATGTCAAAAAGCGAGGTATTTAACATTTTAACCCCACAAATAACGTAAACAACTTATCAGTATATATAAGTGTTCCACATGTAATGTGATCATAAGTTATTGATAACTCTAAATGTTAATCTGTTATTGTTTTCTTTGAAAGGATTCTAGTGCAAAAATATAATGAAGTCGGTTTTGAGTTTGAGTCTATTTTTCGCCTGTGTTTTACAAACCATTGCTCAGAACTTCCCTGTATTTATTGGACGTAACACACCACCAGTGCCACAACCAGTGTACAACGTTCAGGGACAATTTGGAAACTCAAACCCGGTACAGCCGCCAATACCGACCAACCATGGCATGTCATTAGGTCAACAAAGAGGTCCTATGCAACAACAGAGTGAGCCATGGGCACCAGGTGAGCCGGAGTGGTTCTTTCAGGGTCGTCCACAACAATGGCTGAACTCATGCCAAAGGCGGTATGTATAAATATTTTGTAAACGTATTCATGTAATTTTAGTTTTTTTTACGAGTCGGCAAAAATCAATCTTAGATATAACACATGCTTTATTTATACATGTATACTAGTAATTATATATATACTATATAATTATATACTTAAATATGTTATAGTTTTCTTGATCATGTTGACCGCGCAACATTCTTAATTAAAATATCTTCACCTGAACCTGTCGAAAGATCTATTTCACATTATTTTTCAATTTTCTGCAGAAATTTCGCACATGAACGCGAAACTGTTTTTTGTACATGTTTAAACATTTTATATAAACTCGATTGTGATGGAATCTCGAGGCTTTTAAGAAACCTAGTCTGGTGCCATACCAGGAAACATGGTCGCGAACCCAGTATTGCTCGAACCCACGATCCCCTTAGCCACTAGGCCACCGCTCGTGTTTATAAATTCGAAATTGATTAAATTCCGCAATTAACCTCTATGAAAGTAATACTCAGTAAAAAAACATCAATCTTTTCATTCTTAAAACGAATAAAAATATGAAAATAAAGAATTTGGTCATGCATTAAGAGAAAAAATAAAACAATGTCCCCTTCGTTTAATACTTTACAATGAAATGTTTATCTTCATTAAGATAATTACTTCGACATAAAATATAGATAATAAATCATATTAGCGGTAATAAACATTTACACGATAGACTGTACAGGCATGTCCTCGAATAACCTAATTGTTTAAACAATGCATTCCATATACTTTGTAACCGTTTTGGTTTTCATTGTACATTATATTATAATTTGAATTTTAGCATTGAGTTCATTATATAGAGGATATTTGTTAAGTTCAGTGTAAGATCGGAATATATTTCACCGAGTGAGCACCAAAAGGTATATTTCACGAGTGGCGCCGAGTGAAATGTGGACTTATGGTGTTCACGAGGTGAAATATATTTCGATCTTACACTAAACTTAAGTTGGTTTCAAGTTCTGTGTACGCTGGTATTTCACTGAAACAACGTAAGGGGCTTAAATTCAAAACAGTGAAGTTATCAAATTGATAATTTCACTTTTTCAAACAGTGAAATTATCAGTTTTAATTCATTGATATATTTCTTTAAACCTTCGAAAAGCATGTAATAAATTGTTCTTTTATTACAGAGGTTGTTCAGAAGTTGGCACTCACTGTGTGCTGTGGGGAGGCTTATGTCCCGGCTCTGTTAGACGAGTCCCATGTAGATGTCAAAGAGGTAACGAAACTAATGAATTTAAAACATATCTAAACTATATGTTGATTGATCTTTGTTGTTCATTTTAATGGTTCCCATGTTTTTACACACATTCATTGAGACGCTCCTTATGCTCTTATGACATATATGGTTGCACCGTTTGTTGTGTGTACTAATATTTATGTCTTTTTGTACTTACCATTTTTGTACTTACCAGACAAAATACACGTATTACATAAATATAGCATAGAAATATGCTGTCTGAAGTATGCACGGTTATAATTATGTCATTTAATTAATTAATTAATTAATTAATAATTAATTAATTTATTTATTAATATAGAATTTTGATGGCTTGTAAGTTTGAATCCCGTGATCAAAATTACCCACCCACACTTGAGTTTCTGTTTACGCATACGAAATATTCACATCACATCACCTTTGAAATTTCTGTCATAACAACTTTCAATACATTTCTTTAAAAGATTATCACTGTTTTTTAGGTTGTAGAGTCGACACACATTTTATTCCATTTGGACAGACACGTGTAATGGACAGATGTAATAATATTTGCACGTGTAACTCGAGAGAGGGAGTGGTACGTTCATTTTTAGATTTAAATATGATTGCATATATGTTTCATGTATAATGCTTCCAGTACATTCTTTTAAAATCCCAGCCCTAGAAAAGTGTCGCAAGATTTTGTATACATATTTTGTTCAAATTCGCTTCAAATCATATTCTAACAGAGATGCTGACCCTAAAATACATTCTTCCGGGAAATAACATGCAGTTTTAAGCGGATTAATTTGTCACCGATTAATTTTGTCTGGATTAAAAACAACAAAACTTTGCTTATCTGTTTATATACATTGTGTTTCCGACAATAAGTACCGACTGTCATATATAATTATGTTGATTTTACGGCGACAGTTCTTTATAAATATAAGAGAAGAAAGCTTTTTTATTTTAATTTATTTAATTTTTATTTGTATTTTAGGCCAGGTGCACAACAAGGCGTTGTTGAATGAGAAGCTATATATGAGATCGATGTGAATTCCACATAATATTTGTTTCTTGGACTGATTATTTGCTGGCCAATGATATCGGACGATAAACAATCATTATTTCTATACATAGTGTTATAATAATGTATTTAAGTGAATAAAATAATGTATTTAAGTAAATAAAATATTCAAAAAAAAAACCACTCTCTTTCCTCTTTTATATGTGCACATATGTTCACAATTATGAAATGGTTTTAAAACACCAAACCTATTTGAATTGTGAGTTTCAATTTTTGATTCTACAAGCATGTCAGATTCCACGCACGCGGCCGAAATGTTAACAATTTAACTGAAACTGATACGAGTACAAGATAACATAAATAGAATAACATAATATAACAATGGTGCAATTATATATATAAAAAAAAGAAATAAATCGTCAAAATATGGTAACTTCTCTGCATAACTTACGGAAATATTTATCAGTTTTATTAATGATTTACTTATAAATAAAATACAAAATACAAAAAGGGAAGGGCATGTACAGTATTATTTACATAAAGCACAACTTCCTTTCGCGTAATTATACAACTGCTGGTTCTGCTTGCATAGACATCTGTTGACATTAGTTGTAATATTATTGTCATGATTATTGTTTTAATTACGTTATTTCATCTCGTCTCCATACTAATAATAATTTTAGCGTCATGCGACGCGCATATATTTGTCAATTAGTTTACATGTTGGCTGACCCTAACTGCCATGTAACATGATTGGTTAATTGACCGTGCGCGGCTAATTATGGATCTGTAAATGATTAAAGGTAAAAAGGTTTTGTAGTTTTTGTTTCTGTCATAGGCCTACAGGTGATTGATGCAACGTAAAACCGTGCTTACCTTAGCTTTACGTCATTAACGGTTAAGTAAATTGATACGTATAAAATCTAAACGTTGTTACAAACGATCAGTGTTTAACGGAAACGGAGTGAGGGAAAGTTACCGGACATAAAAGAATACTCTGGAGAGTTTAAGAAAAATTTAATCCAAGTAAGGAAAAGGAAAAATATTTCGTAAAGTTAAAAGGCATTTAAATCAAGATCTGGAAAGACAATGAAAAAAACTTCCGTTTCCGTATTTTTCGTGTTAATAGGACTTGTGTGGGGTCAGGGGTTAGATCAACCCGCTAGCGATGGTTTTGTTACAGATCCAATAGGTCCCACAGATCCACCGTTATCATTAGAAGCCGCGGCTAGTATACCAGGTTTAGACACTGTCATGGAAAATCTGAGTTCGAGTTTAGGTGGTGGAAGCGTAGATACTGGTGGATTCGTTCCGGCTACCATTGAATTAACCCCAGTTGTTGACACGCATTTACCATCGGCAAGTGCATCAAGTTCAAAGAGCAGTGTTCCTGATCTCAATAGTATCCTCAGTGGAGGATCATCTAGCAGTTCTCCAGATAGTTCATCGAGCCAAGGAAGCCAAAGTGGATCAATGCTTGGTGACTCTTCACGGAGTGGAGGAGCGATGAGGGATAGTGGTGCGGTGCGAAGAGGGGGTGCGATGCGAGGTAGTGGAGGTTTATCGAGAGGTGGAGGTATTGGTGGTTCTGGTGATTTTATGAGTATGGGTGGTATTGGTATGCCTGCTGGTAGAGATACAAGAAGGGGCAGTGGCAGATCAGACAGACGAGAGTCTACTGGAATGGGAGGCAGACGAGACCCATTAAGCATGGATCCAATGCGAATAGATATTGGAGGTGAGGGAATGGGAATGGAAGGTGACATCAGAATGGGTATGTCAGACAGACGTGATTCCATGGGAATGGGTGGAATGCGTCCCGACAGAAGCATGGATTTTATGGGAATGGGTGGAATGCGTATGGATCCAATGGGAATGGGGCGTAGAGATCCTATGAATATAGGTATGGGTAGTCCCAGGGATTCTACTGGACTTGAAAGAATGGGAACTGGACCTGACCCACGAGTAAGCGATAATGGGCGACGTGGTCGTATGGGTAGCCGGGGATCTGATTTAGACAGACGTACATTGGGTGGAACTGGTACAGATAGAAGATCAGGTTCTAGAGATATGCGCATGGATTTGTCCGCAGCAGGATCACGTGATGGCTTTCGGGCATCAAGCGAAGCAGGAAGAACTGACAGAAGAAGTGGCGGCAGAATAGATGCTCGCCGTGGACCAACAGGTCCAATGCCAGTAGGTTTCATGCCAGGTATGGGATTCGACCCTCGTATGGGTGGACCACGAATGATGGACGGATCAATAGGAGTACCTATGAGTGGTATGGGTATGCCAATGGGCGGTTTGCCAATGCCAATGGGTGGCATGGGAGCATCAATGGGTGGTAGTGCAATGCCAATGGGTGGTAGTGCAATGTCAATGGGCGGTATGCCAATGGGTGGACGTGGAACATCCATGGGAGGTTTGCCAATGAGTGGAGGCGCAACAACTATGGGTGTTATGCCTATGAGTGGGGGTTTTCCTATGGGAGGAATGGGTGGCGGTAACAGGACTGGTTCTACTGGAATTGCAATGGATCCTCGATTTGCTTCTTCAATGATGCCAGGATCTGTGGACCCAAGAATGGCGCGATTTGCTGCCATTGGTGGAATGCCTGGTGGTATGCCATCCGGTATGATGTCTTCTGGTGGTTTCATGCCTTCGGGGACATTTAGTAGCGGAATGCCGGGGACAGGAATGAGTGAGTATGAGCTGTTTCAAGTACATATGTATAAGCTGTTTCAATTGTTTCTTTGCTGTAAATCATAATTTTCTGTCTAATGAGCCGATAAATATTTCATGATTCATGGTAATTGTAGTATTTCCGGAACGATAACAGAAATATATATTATTGTCGGTTCCATACTATTGTGTCGATTTTAACTTCGTTCATTCCAAAGACATGCAATTTCAAATATGTGGAATCTAAAAGAGCATTAAACACAACTATAATAGAATATATATATTGTCTAATGTCCTAATAATATCATTTGCAGTTGTGCCAATGGGCTCTTTTCCATTTGGAATGCCAGGCGGATTCATGGATTCGGGTGAGTAAACTGCAAATCTTTTGTACATTTGTTAACATGTCAGTGTTTCTTTTTTCAACGTTTTAATAAGGTGGATTTATTACAATTAGTATTGGCCTTTAGCGCCGTTTTAATCCAAAAGATCCAGGTTTAATATTATCATGATCTTAGAATTTGATACAGTACTGTATACTGAGATATTGTAATTAAGCTAACTATTAATAAACATGTTGAAGCTTAATCAATTACATGTGTATATAGTAAAAGTACTTTTTATGATAATATGATTCCTTAGAAATGTTAGTAATCTAATATTCTGGACAATGTTTATTAATAATATATATAATTATATGCTGTTATTTTCTCTATGTATATCATCTTTTTTTTCCAAAGTACCAATGAGTGGAGCAATGATGCCTTCAGGAATGGCTAGTGGCATACCCAGCGGTATGTCAGGTGGTATGCCAAGTGGTATGCCAAGTGGTATGTCAGGTGGTATGTCAGGTGGTATGCCAAGTGGTATGCCAAGTGGTATGTCAGGTGGTATGCCAAGTGGTATGCCAAGTGGTATGTCAGGTGGTATGTCAGGTGGTATGCCAAGTGGTATGCCACGTGGTATGTCAGGTGGTATGCCACGTGGTATGTCAGGTGGTATGCCAAGTGGTATGTCAGGTGGTATGCCAAGTGGTATGTCAGGTGGTATGTCAGGTGGTATGCCAAGTGGTATGTCAGGTGGTATGCCAAGTGGTATGTCAGGTGGTATGCCATTTGGGGGTTTCGTTTCTGGTTTGCCAGCACGTGGTGGTATGGGACCAACTATGGGACCATCTATGAGAGATTCTATGATGGGACCAATGGGTAGCGGTCCAATGAGCAGTGAATCTTCAGGACGATCATTGGGCGTTGATTCCATGGGTAGATCATCTAGTATGGTAGGCATGGGCGGGGAAACCATGGGTAGACGAAGTCCGAACGGTAGGGAGTCATTCAGTAGTGGACCAATGGGCTTAGATAGCTTGATGGGTGGTGGAGCTATGAGAAGTGGTGATATGATGCGTGGCAGGATGTCAGCACGTGGGATGATGTAAAAAGAAAACCTTGTCTAAACATAGACATTACGCATAATGACGAAGAAATACGGCAGCGTGTGGAGGCCATTTATGCAAGAAAATCCATAAATATTCATGTTATTTTTATGTTGTTTTACCCAGTAAAATATTTTGTATTTTCTCTATTTCACATTGTAATGGTTATTTGTATTAAAATACTTCCGTAATTATTCATTTCTCACCTGTCATGTGCAATATGCACGAATATTTCGAGATAAAAATGTTTTGGATTGAACTGAACTAATTAAAAATCAGTATCTCCTGTCGCTATCTTGTTTTTCAGCTTTGTACATTTGCTGTGTATGTTAACGTGTTATATTTGCTTCTATTTATTTCTTTTCGACGGTTTTATATTAAAACTAATATGCAGAGTGACACAAAAAATTCGATATTGTAAATCGAGCACCACCCTGTACTTTGCACTGAGATTTGTTTTTTTGTGAATGTCTCCGTTGAATATGTGATGTGAATTGTGAAGATGGATTGTTAGTCCTGACGGTTGTAGAGATAAATAAATTTTGTTTTAAAGTAATCAATTACCTTGATTTGTCATTGCCACGTGGTAAAATCACGTGGTGTAAAAGATCAAAAAAATATATAATGATTTGCGACTTTAGTGTCATTAATAATGTGACGTACATTATGTCATTCATTATGTGATGTGAATACGCCTATAAATAACGGTAAATTAATAAAACAAATTGAAATTTAGAAGAGTTGTAATATAGCAAATATGAAGAAGTTAAAAGAGCAAAGCTCTGCTTTTTACGGAAACACCATAATTCAACGCCTTTTACCAAAAATCATGGAAACTTTGCTTGTAAATATTGATGTTTGCAAAAGTAAAATTAACAAAAAAAAACAAGATTGCATTTGAGAAAAATGCCATGCCACCGCATTAATACAACACTAAGCCTTGTACCTTCAGACAATAAGATTTTTTGATTTTTTTTACTATATATATATATATATATATATATATATATATAATATATATATATATATATATATATATATATATATATATTTATATATATACATATATATTGAAATCAATGACCCTGGGGCAAAGGCAATTTTGACACCAGGGCTATAATTTAAACAATCTTGCTAGAAGTTCACTACATAATGTTTCATGCAAAATATCTAACCTCTAGCATTTGTCAATTACTAGAAGAATTTTTTAAAAGTTTTTACTACATGTATAAGTTTTAACTATATACATATAAGGAAAACCAATGACCCCTGGGGCGGGGCCGATTCTGATCCCAGGGCTATAATTTGAATAATCTGGGTAGAGGTCTACCAGACAATGCCTTATGCAAAATATCTAAGCTCTAGGCCTTTTGGGTCTTTACAAGAAGGTATTTTAAGTTTTTGCTATATGTACATATATTGAAAATCAATGACCCCCGGGGCGGGCCGATTTTGACCCCAGGGCTATAATTTGAACAATCTTGGTAAGGGTCTACCAGACAATGCCTTATGCAAAATATCTAAGCTCTAGGCCTTTTGGGTCTTTACAAGAAGGTATTTTAAGGTTTTGCTATATGTACATATAGTGAAAATCAATGACCCCTGGGGCGGGACCGATTTTGACCCCAGGGCTATAATTTGAACAATCTTGGTAGAGGTCTACCAGACAATGCCTTATGCAAAATATCTAAGCTCTAGGCCTTTTGGGTCTTTACAAGAAGATTTTTTTAATTTATTCTTATAATTCCTTTTGGTTGCCATGGCAACCAGATTTCTGTATGGAATGAAATTCTTTGAACAACTTTGGAAGCCCTTCACCCAAGGATCAATCCTGCCAAGTTTGGTTGAAATTGGACTAGTGGTTTTTCACAAGAAGATTTTTTAAGTTCACTATATAATCTATATAACACACACACACACACACACACACACAAACAAACACACACACAGGTGAATCGCTATATGCCACCGCATCGCAGATGCTGCGGTGGCATAAAAACAAACCCAAAACAACTAGACCACTTAATTTTTGTGGATTAACCAAAGTATTGGCAGAATAATATAATATTAGCGCGAATATGAAAGAAAATTTATAACGCATTATACTCCATTACGGAAGCTTCAAAAGGTCACCTTTTACGCGATCTTTTGTGAGTAGATTTACGAAAGTCGAAAAAAATTTAGGCGCAAAGGCATGATATTATTAGTGTTTTCGCAAAAAGATAATTCGAATAAACCAAAAAGTTTGAGTTAATTGGCCGAATGTTTTCATGCAAAATCAGAAACAATGCACATGACAAGTAATATTTTGATAATTTGACCCCAAGGATTTTTTTCCAAATTGGTAGACACTCACTAGGATATGTTTCATGCTCTAGCTCATAAGGTTTTTTTTTAAAGAAGCCTTTTTGTTGTTACTATATGCATTTAAGGAAAACCAATGACCCTCAGGCGATTCCAATTTTGACCCCCAAGGCTTTTATTTGGTAAAGATATCTAAGCTCTAGCTCTTTGGGTTTTTTAAAAAAAGGTTTTTACTATATACATATAAGGAAAAGCAATGACACCTTGGGGCGGGGCCAATTTGACGCCAGGGCTTTTATTTGAACAAACTTGGTAGACACTCACTAAAAGATATTTCATGCTTAATATCTAAGCTTTAGCTATTTGAGTTTTTTTTAAAGAACATTTTTTAAGTTATAAGGAAAATTGACGACCCCCTGGGGAAGGGCTAATTTTGACCCCAGGGTTGTTTTTTTTTAATTGGTAGACACTCACTAGAAGATGTTAAATGCCATATATCTAAGCTCTAGCTCTTTGGTTTTTTAAAAGCCTTTTATTTTATTTTTTACTATATACATATAAGGAAAATCATTGACCTTTATTTGAACAAATTTGGTTAGACACTCACTAGATGTTTTGTGCTTAATATCTAAGCTCTAGCTATTTGAGTTTTTTAAAAGAAGATTTTTTTAAAGTTTTTACTACATACATATAAGGAAAATCAATGAACCCCAGGGGTTTTATTTGAACAAACTTGATAGACACTCACTAGAATATGTTTCACTCATTTCTTTTTTTCATTGCGTTTTTTCATAAGAAGATATTTTAAGTTTTTTCTTTCAGTTGCCATGGCAACCAGAATTGTGCATGGAATTAAATTATTTGAACAACTTTTTAAGATGACCACCAAAGGAACATTCCTGTGAAGTTTGGATGAAATTGGCTCAGTGGTTTATGAGGAGAAGTTGTTTAAAGTAAATGTTTACGGAGAGACCCGGACAAAAAGCAGTCACAAAAGCTCACCATGTCACTTTGTGACAGGAGAGCTAATAAATCTAAACAAAATAAACAAATAACTGCAATTCAATTTATTGAATCAATAAAGCATCTATGTAAGTGTAAATAAACAGAATGTTTTGGTTTAACAGAAATCTTTGTGTCTTACATACTCCTGTAAAATATATGTCTACATTCTTTGCTACAAATTCTGTTAGAAATAACTATCACAATGTCACTAAAATATCCCTAAACAACCTGTTACTTTTCATATCACATAGTACTGTCATTGATTTGATAATTTGTATTGATATCATATCAAAAACCAAATAATGATGATATATCAATTAAACAAATTAAAAAGACAAGAGAGTGGAAAACATTTGAGAACATGTTATAAACTATCATCCTGATGTTCATGTTGTTTTAGATTTAACGTAAACAACATACTAAAGTATGTTTTTCTAGTGACCTCTGTGTTCAAGCTTGTCTAGAGTTTTCCTTCTTTAAAAAAAAGACATCTGTACAAAACAGGAAAAATGCATTTTAAATTGTATTATAAATCAATATTAAATCGAATGTTGAATATGATGACATATTAATATTACAATCTTCAATGACAGCCCTAATACATTGTGTATTGAATATCTGACTTATTATCAATGTTTTGTTGTTGGAACCCTTTGATATTTGGAATAAAATAACTAACCACCAAAAGTGATAAAATGGATATGCCTGCATGTTAATTTACTAAGTGTATGTAAGAAAGTTAAACTGAACAGTTGTGTGTTCACTGGTCAATAATAACCTCTAATCAATGGACCAATTACCAGGGAAACACATAAACAGATTTTATCACACATTTGTCAGCACTAGTCACTCTCTACTCTTGAACTATATCAGAAACAAAACAAAAAATAATATTAAATCACTGTTAAATGAAGATGTAGTACCTTACTTTTCTTGGAAGTATTGATGAACATTGTTTTTTCCTCTTAATCTTAAATCCTTTTCAACACTTGTTTGCCCAAAACAAATATGTCAAACTGTATGAATCACAAGGAAATAAGTATTAAAGGAACTCCACAGAGGTTCAAATGTCTGAAAGCATAAAATTTAAATTTCTTACAAATATCAACTAGGACACTTGAAATAGAAAGATATGCAAAGGATAATTAAGAAATATACTCAGACATAAAAAGTTGATCTATTTTAGAAAACTTTTTAGTCACAGGTTCTTTAGTCACAGCCATTATAGCTTTCCTATGGTCTATCTTTATCATCAGAAATTACATATAATTATGTCAAAGGAATTTGGAACAAGAAGCGCCGCAATGCGACGAAAACCAGGTTTTCAACGACCAAGTTTTGATGTGACAGCAATCAATAGGTCAAAAAGCACTGAAGTTATTGAGTAGAAGCTGAAAATTCTATTGTAAGCAAATGACCTTGAACTTGCTCCCAGATATCTTAGTGGCAATCCAAAGCTGCCACTCAGCAAGTTTGGTGTCAAAAGGTCAAAGCAAACTCAAGTTTAAATACATGTACATTAACCTTGATCACAGACACCTGGGTAGCAATCCCAAGCTGCCTCTTGATATAAGCGACCCATTCATCAAGTTTGGTGTCATTAGGCCAAAGCAAACTCAAGTTATTGAGCAGAAACTGAATTTCTATTTTTAGTAACAGTGACCTTGACCTTGCGGGGAATCTGAATATCTATTTTTAGTAACAGTGACCTTGATAACAGACACCTGGGTAGCAATCCCAAGCTGCCTCTTGATATAAGCTATCCATACACCAAGTTTGGTGTCAATAGGCCAAAGCAAACTTAAGTTATTGAGCGGAAACTGAATTTCTATTTTTAGTAACAGTGACCTTGAACTTGATCACAGACACCTGGGTAGCAATCCCAAGCTGCCTCTTGATATAAGCTACCTACAAACCAAGTTTGGTGTCAATAGGCCAAAGCAAACTAAAGTTATTGAGCGGAAACCAAAAGTTGACGAATGCCGGCCCGCCCGCCGACTTCAGCATTACAATAACCTGGTTTTGCCCGCCTGCCCGCCAGCCGACTTTGGCATTACAATAACCCGGTTTTCGTTAAAAACCTGGTTAATAAAGTCGTAGCCCACTGCCTCTTGCCACAAAGTCTCTGGGCCAAGCTGATAAAAGTCACTAGGCTGACTGGCCTGTGCACAATCAGCAGCTGATCTTATTTTTGAGGATGAAATGACCAAATTTTAATTGGAACAACTCATTATCTTTGATTTAGGG